GAAGGAGGTAAAGTTTTATTGTAAAGGAATGGAAAACAAGACAATCTGCAGAATTCTGGGGGAGAACTAAGGCAGACGGGCCGGGGCTACTAGGCTCCCTTGATGGGACACTCAGAAGAGTGAATGACCACAGCAGGGGCTTGGCGAGATGTCTGAGGAGAAAGCAAGCAGTCAGGCAAAGACACTAAGCTTAAATCAAGCTCCTAGAACTCTAAGATTTTAATTAAAATAGATGTGTTCATTTCTGGAAAGTTATAGGACAGAAACCAGATTGGGGCCAAACTCTGACTGCAGTTCCAAAAAGTAGAAAGATACGGGGATGTGTATTCACAAAGAGCCAGAACACATATAAATACTACAGAGGTTCAGTAGAAAAAGGAACCATTTCAAGTCAGGGGACAAAGGAGTGGCTTTCAGAGGTGGGTGTGGTCTTGCCCAGACCTCGCCAGGCTGCACTGGAGAAGGCAAGCTCCCCTTGCCACCCCTGCGGCCCGCACTGAAGGGAGTCACAGGGAGTCACAGGCGGGCGCCGTCCTGCAGCCCAAGCCCAGCTGTGTGCTGGGTCCTCAATTACTCTGAAACTTATGTGACGTCTTTCTGAGCAAAAACCTTTCTGAAAAGTGATTTCCATTTTCATTAAAAATATCTGTATTGTCACCTTGTTTTCATTTCCGTTGATTGTTATGCACTGTTCCTTGCTTGTGTTGAACAAAAGTACCCGAGCTTGTGGATCTTTTAATTACTTGTGACTCACGTACGCTGTGGCAGTAAGGTATCCGTTTGTACACTTACCCTCATCAAATATGCAAAGATATATATTGGGGGGGGAGGAATCAGGTTTATTTACTTATTTAATGGAAACTTATTTATTTCCCTTTGGGGAAAGGAAGAATTATATATTACTTTATTTTTCTCACTACCTCTATTCCTGAACAAACTACTCCTGGAAATTATACTTTATAGTCATAATTCACATGCACATACCTACAAATCTTAAATATTATAAAATTAGACTCATTTAATTAAGCCAGAGCCATAGTGGACATGTGATAACTAATATCCAGTAATATACACTATTAAACAGAAGGGGGCACTTTAGCAAGTCTCATAGAAGTTAAAAGTAAACACTCTGTAGCAGAAGAGGTTTGATTAAGAGCTTGCTTATTCTCTGTATTTACTACACAGGCTACTCATGAAGTAATTGTTGGAGTCACAAAACCTATTACCTTCACTGAGATGAGATGCATTGTTCAAACTCAACAATATATTAAAATATTCACTTTCATCATTTATTATTTTTATCTGTTAATTATCCTTGGAATTGTGCTAGTCTCTCTTCTCTGGTTAGGCAGCTTGGTGCTTTAGACAGGCTACTTGATTAAGAACCAATAATAATAATAAAATAAATTTGGTTGAGGGAGGTTATAGCTCAGTGGTAAAGTGCCTGCTTAGCATGCACAAGGTCCTGGGTTCAATCCCTAGTACCTCCATTAAAAAAAAAAAAACTACATAAATGAGTAAATAAATAAATAAACACAATTACCCCTCCAAAAAAGAAAAAACAATTTTTTAACTAAAAAATAAAATTAAAAAAATAATCAAAATACATGCATACTAGCCACAATTCTGGCGATCTTTTGACAGTGGTGAAAAAAAGTCATTTCTATGAAGTCAGAAACCATGTCTGTTTTACTAACACTAATTTCTCAGTGTCCACCAAGGACATGGACTATAGATGGTGCACAGTAAGTATCTGTTGTATGAATAATTGAATGGATGAGGTCACCAACCTTCTGTGACCTCAGGTTTCTCACTGAAACGTGGCAGTGATATATGCATCCTGCCTACCTTGGTACGTAATTAGAAGTTCCTGGGAAAGTATAATTCACAAGCAAGCAATTTATTTTTATTATAAACAGTGTGAAAATTCAAAGTCAGCTCTCTTGGTGTACAGAATCTACTTCACAATGGTTCTCTGTGAGCCTCCTAATCAATTTTCAGGTTAGCTGAACAAAAAGCAAGCAGAGGTAACATTTTGCAAGGACTAAGTTATAAGCCATTCTTGTTGCTGCTTCATTATTTATATTACTGGAACAGAGCAAAGACATGGATAATTTCAAGGGTACATAATCCAACAGTTATATGTACTTGGCATTGATATCTGTTTTGTGCTTTTATTTGAATAAAGGGGTGTCTGGTGTCATGGTAATTGAACTAAAACAAAATAACAAAGCCAATGACAATATCTGGTTCAGAATTTTCTCATCTTTAAGATTCCTCTGCTTAATGTCCCAGCACCTTAATCCATGCAGGCTGACATTGCTCAGTCACCTTTTTTTTCTCCCCTGAATGAAGGAATCCATTTATTTAACAAACGTCAGTGGACTATCTACTGGGTGACTGACATGGGATAGAAAAATAAGTTCAACACAGTTGAGACACAGACAATATTCACACTATGATGTGAAAAGACTTAAACTAGAGCCCCTTGCTATGCTCCTTTCTACTCAGAGATACCTTGGCCTCCAGTGACACAGGGAATTGGATGCTATCAGATAGAAAAGGGTAGCCTACTTTTTTTTTCCACTTCAGTTCCAATTGCTCTTCTTAAGAATATTTAAGAAATGGAAAATAAAAGCAAAAAGGAAACAAGGATGGAAATCTCCTTCGAACTGCCTTCAGATTTGAGGAATGCAGCTAGGTGAAACGGTTCATTTTCAGAGTAATTTCCACATCGACTCTATTTGAGCTCTGTAGTACAGATCTTAACGTTTTCAGTGGTTGGCCGTGACAACTTTCTGGCTCACTCAGGGGGTTAGTTGTCTAAGACCCTGGACAATGCAATAAGAAATCTCAGAAGACTGAGAGCTTATGATGTACTAAACCTAATTTGACAATATTTAGACTAAAACAAGGTCAATCCTTGTATATACAGCATCAGGCAATTCTGAGCCATCTACCTAGTTCACCCACTCAACTAACCTACTGGATTTTCCAGGCAATAACTGGTTAGATTAACCACCTAGCTCTAGTAAAATCTGCATCAACATCTGGGGTGATCTACTTTACGAATCTAGAGAGACAACTCTTCTAAATCTTGGGAAGGTACCTTTCTAACAGATATATCGTCCTCATGGTAGCTTCTCTGCTGTAGTAAAGAGAAGGGTCTTGTTATCTTAACTACTTTTTTGTTTCTGTGGTTTTTTTGACCAGATAACAAATGGTATAATCACTTCAGTATTGATGAGCCATGCAAATTCTAAGCGTCTCATTCTACTAAAAAAGACAAATTCATCAAAAGGCAGTAACTTTGCTTTCCTGCGTGATAAAGCCACCATTACTTATTCAAGATTAATTAGCCAAAGGACTCTTCACAGTGGGAATTCAGCGCTAATACCTTGTCACAACAGTTGTGATTAGACATTTATTAGAGTGGGGTCAATGCTAATAACAAAGGAAAACAGGACAAACACAAAACTGACTTGATGAAGAGAATTTAAATAACAATGACGTGCAGATAGTAACACCGACTTGTATTTTGAATGCCAAAATCATATTTTAGCAAAAGAGGATTTTTTAAAACATGAAACATTCACTCTCCATCATCTTTAAAATCCGGCCCATCATGCTTCATATTTGTTGAATTATTTTTTTCAAGCCACATAATCACATGGAGACATACATGTCAAAGACATATAGAAATTTAACAACTTTTTAGAATTTTATTCTACAGGAAGAAGGTGATATATCGGTGTTTTTAGGGTTGAATCTAAATGAAATCAGTTCATATTTACTCAGTCCAGCATGGAAGAACTAAAGAATCTTTACTGCCCCTAACTAGGTTTTGAATTTTTATCTTTTAGACATGCCTTATGTCTAATAATTTTGTGTTTTGATCTTGAAGTAAAAATAATCACCCATTAATATTTGAATAAAGTCTTTTAAAGTTACTCTATTAGGGTATCAATTTTAAGGATGGTAAAAGAAGGAGTAGAGCAAAATTATTCTAGAGGAGTTAGTCATAACCAAAGCAGAAGCCAGGAGTGACCACAGGGAAACGATCCTCAGAGGGTAATTTAACGACATTACTGAAATTGTGGGAATCCATATACCACCTAGATGATTAGGAAAGGGGTTGTTAGCTAAGCCATTGTCTGAAACCCACTGAATCACTGGTCCCTTTGAAAAATGATTGGTTCTCCTTTTCTAAAGATGGGGTTTTAAAATCTAAGACAAGCTCCAAACAGCAGAGCTGAAAGACAAAAAGGACACAGACCTCGAATGAGTCTAGATTTCTCTTCAAAGGTAAAGGAGGGAGGTAAGATACCAAATCTTTGCTTTCATAATTTTAAGAACACAAGTCAGTCAACTCCGCAGGATAAACTACCCAAGGTCACCCTCAATGCTTGTGTAGGTCACTGATTTGAACTAAGCCAGGCATTTTCACATCTGGAGGACAAGAGATGACATAATCCTATGAGTTGCACTATAAATAAATATTACAGCTTAATTTTATAACCTCTTTCCCTGAACTAGTAAAATATTGATTCAGTTGCTTAGTTTTAATATGTTTTAATGTTATTAGACTTTTAACTAGAAACTGTGTGGTACTGAACTGCTATTGTCAGATCTTTACTGTAGTTTTTTTACTACTACATTAAATAGACATTAAAATTGCTTTTATAATAAGGATCTAGTTCATTGATCCCAGTCATGGGCTTCCCATGGGCCAAAGGACCCACTCCCTTCAGTGTAGAACAAACAGCACAGGGGATGAGACCATCTTGTTCATAAGTTCATTTAACTACATCACGTGCCACCAAATGAGTCATTTGGGCAAGCTGAAAGGACAAGCAAACAACTCTGGTTTTTATAAACAGCTGCTCTGAGAAAAAGAATGAGTGATATTTATTTATATTTATAAATGTGCCTTTTTTATTTTAAAATCCTAGTATGTAAGTAAATACTGTAGAATTCACTCAACTACTCTTCTGATTGAACAATACCAACTAATTATTGTTATCATGATTTTTACGTAGACAATCTTTTTAAAGCTAAATTTCACAACTTATTTTTTAGATATTTCATCTGAAAATGAAAACTATAATTCTTCTTGGGATACTGGGAGCCACAATGTCAGCCCCGGTAAGTGATTTCATGGTAAAACTGAAGTCATTGTGTAAAACCCATGGCAAATCACTCTTTTACCATTTCTGGGTTTTGTTTGTTTCTTTGGTTTTTTAGCTTATCCCACAGCGTCTTATGTCTGCAAGCAACAGCAATGAGGTTAGTATAAATACTTAAAACAATGACCCCTGGTTTTTTGTTTGTTTGTTTTATGAAAGCCCAGTGGGGATGAGATAAAAGCCTTCCACTGATTTATATTTCAGTTCTGCCCACCAGCCCTTATATCTAAATGCATTTCCAGTCATCATGTTTGTTTTGTACACCAGGTTATTTCTAGAATATTATTTTGCCTCCCTTGTTGGATTGCAAGTTTCTTAAAGGCAGAGACAGAGTCTTGCATATCTTTTAGCTCTAATAGCATCAATATGGGATATATAGGAGTTCAAAAGTTCAAATGACTAACTAAACCACTGGCATGAGCTAAAGTTGTGCAATCTCACATACAGCAGGGGAGAGGTAGTTAAAGCCTAACCTCTAATCACAGTATAAGCTTAGGGAGAAAACATCTCACCTCCAACAGGAAACTATGCCCAGCCAGCTCTGACTTGTGTGATGTTTGTAGCAAACATTGTTCTTAATCATTTCAGCATGTGTAGTAATCTTGTTTTCATATTTTTCTTCCTTTTCTAGTTACTACTGAATCTTAATAATGCTCAGCTTCAGCCACTACAGCTTCAGGTACCCCAACCTCAATAATTATTTCAAGAATATTTTTCTCCTGCTCATTTCTTATGGTACCTGGTATGAGAGCAGAGTGTTTTCTGATTCCATTTCTGAAATCTCAATTTTTAAATCTATGAGTTTGTTCTATATATTTGCATTACCATCTGTTTAAAGACTAAAGTAAAAATTATCATCTGATTAACATTTATTTATTGAGAACTTCGTATATGCCAGGCACAGACTCTCACAACTATGAGATAGTTAAATTTACCAGTTTACACAAAGTCATACTCAGCTAACTGGTTTAAAAAAAAAAAAAGATTTGACACCAATCTGGCAACTACAAAAACTGCACCCTTTATCCACCTGATTCTGCTCCATATTCTTCATCATGTCCACTGGGGATTCAGCATTGTTCATGCTATTTGCTGGCTCATAATGTGCCAAGATGCTGTCCTTTTTTATAATGTAGCAATGGAAATATAGATATTATTTAGGTTCTGTTTCTTTCTTGCTCAAGACTGATTTTAAATTCTTTTTGAAATGAAAGAGAAGTGCTTCCTTTCTTTCTTTTGTGTCCTCTCAGAGCCCGTTTAATTCCTGGATCCCTCCTTTCCCCGAGACACTGCAACAGCAGCAGCAGGCTCCAATTCCAGGACTCTCCCAATTCTCATTATCAACTCTAGACCGGTTTGCTGGACTGTTCCCGAATCAGATACCCTTCCCAGGACAGGTCATTTTCGCTCCAGGAACCCAGGCAGGACAGCTGGACCCCTCACAGCCTCAGACACCACCACAGACCCAACAGGGCCCTAATGAGGTAAGTCGGGCCTCTTCCATCTCGTTACCCCGAGGAGAGATAATGCACATTGAATGTGAAAAATGAATATGAATCAGCTTTGCAATAAGACAGGAGTTACTGAGCAAGAATTCTTTCTCATAATATGTTTCTACCATCACTGGAAGTACTTCCTCATCTTTCTGATTTCTGACATGAAAAAATGCCATGTAAATCAGCTCTTCTAGGTCACAGCCATGAATCAAAAGTGTTAAAGCATGCTTTGGAAAAGAAAATTAGGAAACTTGCATCTTTAAAAAAAAACAGAATTAGCATTAATGATGGTACATGTAATAGATGACCTTTTGTCATCATCAAAGTCTGCAGATTATATATTTATATGACTAGGTCTGAAGAAAACAGCTCTGGAATTTTAGATTAAAAAGTCAAGTATAACTTTTTACCATTCCTTTTTTGGCAGGTTATGCCCTCTGTGTTCACCTTCAGAATGCCTCAAGAGCCAGCACAGGTAAATGAAAGGAATACCATCGCCCCTGTAGAGAGATGGTTGCCTACACTCTCCATGGAATGCTTTCTTTTACATTTGTAGCCTTGACCCCTATAGCAGGGCTATAAAACCCACACAATGCTATCACTGTCTGGATACTACCATTGCTGGGCTGGCATCAATTTGTTAATCTTAGGCTCACTTAATAGCTCCCAAAGGAAGGCCAGCTGAGAATCTCCAGGACCCCAGAGTTTCCAGGACATTACTGGGTTGGGAATTAAGGAGCTCACTAAGCCTGAGGTTCTGTCCTCTCTGCACCTAAAGCTCTGGCATTTTGGCATTTGGGAAAAACTAGAAAAATGCTATGAGCTAACTTTGCCCAACTCTAAACTTTGTTTCAGGGAAAGATGCATTAAACTGATAAAATATGATATGATGTAGAGAGAGTTATGAAATTCTGCTCAAAACATTCCCAGGTTTTTATATATTTTCAGTTTAACTCCAAATGGTGGTGATTTCCATTTAATAAGAGAATCTTTTTAAATGAATTATTAAAGTAATATGGAAAAGCCTCTCAAGATCAGGCTAAACAATTTTATAATATCCTGGATTCAAAGATATAGGAATATAGATAAATTATATCACTCACCAGCGAATATTGACCATTTCATAAAAAGTTACACCACTTGGCTCTGGTATGATCATAATTATGTAATTTTGTCCATTCCTATTACAAAACAAAAGTTACCTCTAGACATTATCTCATTCTATGCCACAGCATTTACAGAGTTAGATACCCGACAAGTGGAATGCCTTAATTTTAAGGATGAAGAAGCCAGTGTTAATGAGATTAAGCTCCCAATCCTGATGCAAATAAACAGCTGAGTTGGAATGTAATTCTTCACCCCTCCTTTAACCACTAAACCAGTGGCTCCCCACCCTAGCTTTGCATTAGAATCTCTGGTGACGATCTCGAAAATTACAAATATCTGGATCCTGCCCACACCTAATGAATCAAAACCCCATGAGCAGACCGCAAATATGATTATCTGTTAAAATGTTCAATCAGTGATTTTGAGTCTTAGCCAGGATTAAGAACTGCTGCATGAAATACACCTCTTCTTAAATCATAGTTATTGTTTTTTAACTCATATTCAACATAGTCTCTTATTAAATCATACGAGGAAACAAAACCCCATGCATGTACAACAAAACCGTTTTCTTTAAACACATATGCATATACAGACACACACACACATAAGTGGATGCCAATACATGATAATGTGAGTGGTGAAACTGTGGGTGATTCTATTTGTTCCTTGTCTATTTCTGTTTTTTCCAAATATTCTATGATGCATATGGATTGCTTTAATCAAATGGCAGTTATTGAAGGCAATATGTTCTTGACCATTTATTATGGTAGTACTTCTAATACCATGTCCTGCAGAATGAAGATTCTAAAAAAAATGTAGGGACAATGTTGCATAGGCTAGCTTCTTCTTAGATATTTACAAAGAATATACGTATATGAATTTTGTATATAAAGTCCAAGGTGCTCTTTTTAAAAGCCCGTTATTTAGTTGAATCTACTACTTCCTAATGTGTTTGACCAAGTAACCTTGAAACAAAGCCCAGTGTCATGTGCAACACAAATTTCTTCTAAAGTTTGGGAAGGACTCTTTATGTGTTCTTTTGTTCACAGAATTACTAAATATAAATCAGTTTTAAAATACTAACATTAGAAGACTTAAAAAAAAAAAAAGGCCTGCGTTGATCTAAAGGAAGCTCCTCTGTACTCTCCTGTTTACAAACAGATGTTTCAATACTACCCAGTTTACGTGCTCCTGCCCTGGGAACAACCTCAACAAACAGCCGCCTGGTCCCCTCCGCAAACAGGACAGCAGCTATTCGAGGAGCAGGTATTTCAAGTGTTTGATTTTAATATGACTAGTTCCACCTGAGAATAAAGAATATACGGTACATTTTCAGAGGAGGGAATATCTGATTATGCTTAGTGCAAAAACTCAACAGCTTGAACTGGTCATAAAAGGATATTGTGCTTCCCCTTACAGTGACACTAATTTGGAAATATACTCCAAGGCTGAATTTTGAAAGAACAAAGTCACTGAACAGATGTCAATAAAATCAGAGGCCAAAAGCTGACTCATATTAGAAAATGAAGTTTTATAACTTTTAAAAATCTACCAGCATCCCTTTTGTCATATATCCATGTAGCCATTATTTTTTTAAAAATAGCTGCCAAGATTAAAGGGCACTTATGAGCACTAGATATTGAAATACAATTAGATAACATTATATTGAGTTTCGTGGACATGCAAGAAATTGGTAGAATTCTAATATAAATTCAGGTGGCTCATACATAGCTAGATTTCTTTCTAAAAAATTTATCATTGCTTAAAACTTGCCAAATCAACTAGAGAAAATTGAAAACTAAGCTTTAAATGGCTGGTAGAAGTACTTCCAATGAAGTCATGTTAATTTAAAGAGGAAGGGAGAGGTTTAATCTAGAAATCATATGGTGTTAAAAGGATATAACCTAGAACTTAAAAAAAACTTTTAGTATAATATAAATACATAGATAAAATTCTAAGTAATCAGTTATCACAAAATTACGACAGAATCATAAGAACAAATCTAATGCATTTTTCAAAATTCTGACAGATGCCATTCTATACTGAATTCGGATATATTCCACAGCAAGCAGAACCTGTAAGTAAATGCATACTTTTCCTTAAAAGTAAAAATTAATTTTTGAGATGACTTGCTTCCTAAACTGTTAAATCTGTCAGTGCTCTTCAGTCAAAACCCACCGGTAACACACCTCTCACTGGACAGAGCTGGATTTACCCACTCACTGTAACAGGGGAGAACACACACCATGGGGAACCATGGGGTCTTCACAGGAAGGTACTGAAATGACTTCTCAGAGGGTCTGGGCTTGTGTCAGGTGATATTGGGGAGAATTCAAGGAGTCATGGCTCACTTTGGATTAGGTGTTCTCAGGAAGTGGGGTAGTTCTATGATTTGGGTAATCTACCTATTCGTACCTAGAAGGTCAGAACAATGGAGCGAGGCAACGGCCGTGACTGGTAAAGAAGCAGTTCTCCAGATTAGCCAGGACCTGAGGATGCCTGGTATTTTTGTGCCTTGCACAGGGACCTGGCTTTAGACAAGGTTACACAGTGGTGTTGTTTTGGTCGCACTTTGTCATGCTTAGAGGTGACCTGGTCTGATGTTCGTGTTGGGTTGGATTTTTTAACAATACAACAGGGGAGCACCAGGGCCTGGCAGTGAGCGTCAGACCAGCTCCTGACGACGCAGAAGCAGAGCTGCTGGGTCAGGCCAGTTTCTCACTGTGAGGAGCTGCTTTTCTCTTTCTCAAATCTAAGTTATTGTTTTCATTTTGAAGAAACTAATTGAAGAAGTCGGGAAGTGTTAACTGCATTGGGTGCAAAACAACATATTTTATAGATTCATAATTTAGACTTTTTTAAATTCCCCAATTTTTCAGGTTAGACCAGGAGGACAGCAGCAACCAGTCTTTGATCCCTTCCTAGGCACAGCTTCTGAACCCGCTGTGATGGTATGTTTCTTTACCACAACTTGCTAGCTACTCGAAGTCAGCAACTGACAGCCTACGGGCTCTTGCCCTCTTGTTCATTTCGATGAAAATATTATTATTCCATCAACAACTATTACTCTTTCCCTTGTAATCTCTTGCCACTCAAGATTCAATTTGCTCAGTCCATCAGATATTTATCGAGGAGCTACTACATGCCAGATGCTTTCCATAGGTACACTCATTTAAAATCTGGTATTAAGAGATGTCCATGTTTACTGGTATATATTCATAGTCTTTCTAAAAGATAGATTATAATCTAGAAAATTAATAAACGTATTTATTTCTTAAGTAAAGTCTTGGCTTTGCATCTCACTCCTTTTGCTTTATACTCCTTGTGCATGGAACCTGTGACCACTTTATTTTCTTTCTCACCCACTATAGCCAGCAGGAAGAGTGTTACCGAATTTACAAAAAGAAATGATAAACTTTAAGCATGCCAATGCAGGAATTGTCATTCCTTCAACTTCACAAAAACCCAGCACAAGTGTTTTTACTTCTGCTATAGACCCAACTATTACTCCAGAGCTCATGAAAAAGAAGGTAATCAAAGATTCATTTTACATAAGAAATTGGTGTCTAATAGAAAATATAAAGTTAGTGCTTAATTTACAGGACTTAGTCACAGAAATAATGACAGCATAAATGATATAGTAGAATTTATCCTTTGAATAGGAAGGCTAATAATTGTTTACTAATAATTCACTAGTCAGAATATAATTTAATTTTGATTTAATAAAAACTTCCTATGAATATCCTTTTCCTCACTAGGCCAAGACTGATAACCTAAAGGAACCGTAAGATGTTCTAATCATTCAAAGTTTGAGGTAGGTATTTGCCAAGAGGCATTCATTATGTATCATGACATATCCTAAATCACAAAAAAAAAAAAGTCAAGGGAACTAATGAAAAGATCTACAACAAAATGAAAAAAAAATCCAAGTCAGTGCTTATATATTCCTATAAAGCTAATAATAATTATGATATTTTAGCAATTTTCTAAAAATCAGAAACTTTTGAGGATCTTATCTGCTTATGCCATAAACCGGGCATAAACTCTGAAAACACAAATAGTACATGTTCTAAGTCCATGTAAAAGACATTCTACAGGCATCAAATACAAAGTCAGTTCTCCCAAATCACCGCTTCACTTTGCAAGCTACAAGTTGTAACAGTGCCAAAACATTTGTATCGGATTAGCATGAAATAAAGTCTCAAAATGATAAAAAAAAAAGTCGCACAATCACATGGAAATTTGAAATTCTGTATTTTATATCAAATATAACTTTAATTGACTCCCTTTCCTCATGGGCTTAGTTGGCTGTGAGGCTAGTGGGTGTTTGATTAAAAAAAAGCAGGCTGGGATGACAACAAGAAGCAAAAAATACACATGAAAAAGCAAACAATTTGGCCTGAAAGGGAAAAGTAAACGGCAAAGGTTTTTGAAATCCCCTCCCTGCGACCTGTGAGTCTCTTCTGATTCCTCCTTCTATGAAAATGAATACTCGGCTTTCTTCAGATTAAAAAAAGTCTACAAAAATGCAACCAGAAATGAATAGCATGAACACCTGTTTAGAAAAGTCTCTCTACAATGCACTATTTTGTCCAGTGCAAACCAATTCAAACTACCTAATCAGAAGTACTAAAGAGATTTTATATGTAAAGTGTGGCCTTCACTCTGTGTGGCATCAATGCCAGAAGGAGTTTTCTATTTCATTTTAAGCAACTTAGAAAATATCTGGGAAATTTTACAGAAAACAGTCTAATGGTATTAAAATGCTCTTCTATTTTGTTTTTCAGAGAACAAGATGTGGCAGTGCCTTGGATATCATTTGAGGCTATTTGCTTCCCCAATGCTAATATCAGTTCTTTGAAAAACAGAAAATAGTTTGTCTCTTCTCCTGAATGCCTTTCTACTTACACTCTTTCAATAAGTCATAGGAAAATAATACAATTATTTAGTAAGCCTTATCTTTACAAAATTATATTTCTTTTTAAATATACTTTCATTGCATAATCTGGAAAGCAACAACAATGAGAATAAAGCTAATATCACTGAATGAGTTGTATAACTGCAATTAATAAAGGAAGGTGCTGGAAAATGGTGGCCTCAATAAGAATAAAGATATCCTATGGTTGGATTTATAAGTGTGGTGACTGAGACTGATGAACTAAAGTACATACTTAGCTTTGACATACAACTTCATTATTTCCCCCAGGCCCATTCAGCAGATTCCTTCTGATGCACTCTCCATTCGAATCAGAATTATTTGGTGGCAGATATCATTAAGCGCATGCTGTCAATATGGCCTAGCTACATGGAGAGATGGCTGTCATCACCCAAAAGGATAGGTCCTCAGGAAGATGTACACTGGTTTGGGGAAGCAACATCCTGTACAAAATAGGACACGGATTTTGGATTTCATCAGATGTGGCTTTCAATCTGGCTTGGAAACTTCAGCAAGTCCCTTGCACTGAGTCTCAATCTTCCCAGATGTAAAACAGACATAGCAATATCTATCTTTTCAAAATCTCTGAAAGAGCTACATGAAATAATACATGTAAGATACATGGCTCATACAAAGTACAGTTGACTCTTGAACAACACGGATTTGAACAGCGGGGGTCTAGCTATAAGTGGATTTTTATTTTCAATAAATACCTACAACCATACTACACGATCTGTGGCTGGTTGAATCCTCAGATGTGGAACCACGGATATGGAGTGCCGATTGAAAATTTATAAATGGATTTTTGACTATGTGGGGGTCAGTACCCCTAACCCCCACCTTGTTCACAGGTCAACTCAGAAAATGTTAATTTTCCCCCATTTACTTGTGGTAGTACTATGGAAGTACTTAATGTATTTTCTCAGCTTTGGAACTTCAGCTGAAATTCTGAAAAGACAGGAAAATTGACATTCAGTACACTTCACATATTTGTATGTAGATGTGTGTTGATGTGTGTGAGTGTATGTGTATGAAAAGAAAAATGAATGAGTGGGCAAATGAATGAATGAATAAATACGTATTAGGTGGTTTCAAACAAATTTAATTAGTATTTTAGGCTTTAAATTTGATCACAATTCCTAGAGTCTTATCTTTTTCCAGCATTTAGTAATGTTCTGACTCTGGAAACTGCTACTTACCCAATGGAAGGGTAATCCAATAATCACCTATTCTACCTTCATTTTATACTTTATCCTATTTTCCCTAAATTGGTTGGGTGAGTGAAAGTAATTCTGGGTGATTGACAGACTTCTTAATATTGGACATGATTTGGGGAATTGTACAAGATATCTGATAAAATGCAAGTATTCAGCATGTAGGAACATTGTGTTCTGAAATTCCACGAGTTTGTGAGGTCATTGAAAATTATATAAGGTAATTCATGCTGAGTGTTTAGAATACATTCTGGAATATAGCAAGTTTTTTGACTTTTCTCATTAACGAGGAGGAGAAAAGGGATGGTCAGAGACTAAAGAAGAGAAATGGGCACAGCACAGCTATTCTATTTGACGGTTCAATGAAGAGAAGCAGAACTTAGGAAAAACTGCAAAACTCTAAGCATCATGCTATAATCAAGTCAAGAGTTTGACAATATTAGGAGTTACAATAATAAAGGCTTTAAAAAATACACAAATGTTATCAATACATGAACATATAAACACATTAAAGGGCTAAATTCTACATAAATAAAGTAATGCAAGGATAAACATTAAGAAGTTACTTCAAGAAAATGTTTTGATAAAACATAAATATTGAGCTAAGCATGCTGTATTTTTTTACTTTATTCCAGGCAATATTAAAAAGACCTTATTACTCTGGATGTTTTTAACAAATCCAATTTAGTGACTCAGCTTAAAAAATAAATTCCCTAATCTCAGACTATTCAGGATCCAATCTGCTTCAGGAAGCTGTTAAGTCTTGTTAAGGTATTCCTGAGCAACAACTATGTTTGAAAACATGCATACTATAATCACCATCAGTGAAATAGTCTACGTTTTCAAACTACTTTATACAGAAGCTTTAAACACTATCATTTTTGTTACCAAAGTTAGGAAGACAAGAAGGTACGCTTTAAAGAAATATCACTGCAATACATGCAAAGAACTGTATTTTATTGTGTTGATTTTAATCCTAGCATCTCAACTTCCCCATCCCAGGCCAGTGAAAGAAAGGCAAAGCAGAAAAAGCACCTCAATTTTGAACAAATCTGACCAGAAAACTCCTATGCAGAATAATTTCCCTAGAATCAGTTTTGCTTACATTTGGTAATCCACACTGTAGCCTCAAAACTTTCCCTACCAACCTTCTCACTGAGTGCTTCCTATCTAATGTATTATGAGAGCATTAGTTCAGGACAGACATATGGAATCCATGTATGATCTCACCCCCAAAATTGCACCCATGACCAATCCATCATCACAGTCTAGTAACACTTTTAAATGCATAGAGTTTAAGTGTGTAGTTTGATGGGTTTGAGTTACATATACATATAAATGTACGTACCTACGCCTATCAAGACACAGAACATTTCCATCACCTCCGCAAAGTCCCCTCCTCTTTTCCAGTCAATCTAGTCTCCCCATTCTCATGACAGGTTACTACTTAAAAAAATAAAATTTCTATCAACGTATATTAATTTTGCCTATTCTGGAGCTCCATATAAAGTAGATCATACATTGTGTATTCTTTTGTGCCACCTTATTTTACTCAATATAATACTTTTGTGAATCCATGTCGTTGCCTAAATTGTGTGCTACATTGTACGAAGGTACTACAGTTTCTTTTAACTATTCTCCTATTGAGGAACATTTGGGTTGCTTCTAATTATTGGCCGCTTAGCATAAAGCTGCTATGAAGCTCCTGTACAAGTCTTTTTGTAAACATACGTTTTCATTGCTGTTGAGTAAATACCAAAACGTGGAGATAAAGCATAGGGTAAGTTTATTATAAGTAACTTCTAAGTAGTTTCCTATGTGACTGTACCATTTTATACTCTGATCAGTAATATGAATTCTAGTTCCTCCACCTTCTGGCCAACATTTAGAATTGTCTTTATATACATATATGGCAATTATATATATATAAATATATATATATATAATCATTTTCATGAATTCCTCTTCTGTCAAATGTCCTTTCAAAATTAGCCTTCACAAAGTTTGACCTCTACCCTCTCTTCTCCCTCCCTTTCAAAAATCAACACATGAACATTTCTATTGTTGTGACTTTAATAAACACTTATAAGTAATCACTGACTTCTAAATCTATATCTCAACCTAACACATTAAATAGTTAAGTTTATATCTACTCTATCATATAGTTCAGAATTCTATGTCTTTTTAATTTTAGCTATTTAACAAGTAACAAGTATGACGATGCATCTCATGGCTTTAATCTGCGTTTTCCTGATGACTAATAATATGTGTTTTTTTCTACACTTCTGGCCACTTGTATATCTTTATTTTTGAAAATTACATTCAAGCATTTCATTTATCTTCATATGACTGAGTTTTAAGAGGTTTTTATGTGTTCTGGATTATGTAATTTGTCAAATAAATATTATTGTGAACACTTGTCCCAGTCTGGAGCTTGTCTTTTCACTTCATAGTGCGGTTTCTGAAGAGCAGAATTTTTTATTTTGGTGCAGTTCAATTGTCAGTTTTTGGAGATTAGTGTCTTGTGTACTAGTAAAGAAATGTTCACCTAACCCAAAGTAATGAATATATTCTCCTATGTTTTCTTACAAAATTTTTAATGGTTTAGCTTTTACATTTAGATCTGTAGCCACTGATTTCTGTATAGTGTGAAGATACAGATCAAGGATAGTTCTTTCCACACAGATGCCTAGTTGATCCAGTGTCATTTGTTAAAAAGATTTGCCTTTTCTTACTGAATTGCCTTGGGATCTTTATTGAAAACCAATTGACTATGCATCTGCATCTATTTTTGGACTCTATTCCATTTAACTGCTTTTTTTAGTCTTTGCATTAATATTGCAGTCTTGATTACTATAGTGATGTCTTTTGTATTTCCACATAAATTTCAGAGTCAGTTTCTCAGTTTCTTCTCTGCTTGAGTTTTAATGGGATAGTACTGAATTTCTAGATCAGGAAAGATTTGGCATCTTAACCATGCTGAGTATTCCAATTCATGAATGTGGCATATACTTATTTAGGTTATTTCATATTTATCTCTGAAATGTTTTGTGGTTTTCAGTGAAGTGGTCTTGCAATATCTGTTAAACTTTTTTCTAAATATATTTATGTTTTTAAATTCCATTTATTTATTTTCCATTTTTTAGCACATAGAAATGCAGTTGATTTTTGTACATTGAGCTTGTATGCCATTATCCTGCTAAATACATTTATTAGGTTCCACATCTGCTTTGCAGATTCCATATTATTTTCCAGCTAAAAAAACACATTTTCTGGAAATAAAAATAATTCCACTTGTTTCTATTCATTCTGTACATCTTTAACTGTTTTTCTTGCCTTGTTACACTGATTAGGGTGTCCAGTGTAATGGTGATTAGAAGGCACAAAAGTGGATATACTTGCATTGTTTCCGATAGTAGGAAGAAAGCATTTATTATTTCACAGTTAAGTAAGATGTCAGCTTTACATTTCCCATAAATTACCTGTATGAGATTGTGGAATTTCACTTTTACTCCTAGTTTGATGAGAATTTTTATTATGAATGGATTTTGACTTTTGTTAAATAAATTATCTGCATTTACTGAAATAAAAACATGAATGATCCCTTTCATTTGGTTAATGTAGTAAATTATATTGTTTTACTTTTCAATGTTAAACACCTTTCAGTCCTGGGGAGAAAATGCCAATTTGTTATAATGTGATATCTTTTTAAAATATTACTGTATTCTGACATAAATCTTAGCAATGTTCTCCTAGGGCAGTCTACTCAGGCAATAGAAATAAAAGCAAAAATATTTTTTTTAAAAAAACCCAAAAAACAAAAACAAACAAAAAAAGAAATAAAAGCAAGAATAAACAAATGGAACCTAATTAAACTTATAAGCTTTTACACAGCAAAGGAAACCATGAAGAAAACAAAAATATAGCCTACAGAATGGTAGAAAATGTTTGCAAATGATACGACTGACAAGGGCTTAATTTCCATACAACTTAGTAACAAAAAAAAGAAACAACCCAATCCAAAAAGGACCTAAACAAGCAATTCTCCAATGAAGACATACAAATGGCCAATAAGCACATCAAAAAATGCTCAATATCACTAATTATCAGAGAAATGCAAGTCAAAACTACAATGAGATATCACCTCACACCAGTCAAGATAGCCATCATTCAAAAGTCCACAAATCATAAATGCTGGAGAGGGTGTGGAGAAAAGGGAACCCTTCTACACTGTTGGTGGGAATACAGTTTGGTGAAGCCATTAGGGAAAACAGTATGGAGAGTCCTCATAAAACTAAAATACAGACTTAACATATGATCCAGCAATCCCACTCCTGGGCATATAACCAGAGGTAACCTTAATTCAAAAAGATATATGCACCCCAATGTTCACAGCAGCACTATTTACAATAGCCAAGACATGGAAGCAACCTAAAAGTCTATTGACAGAGGACTGGATAAAGAAGTCATGGTACATTTATACAATGGAATACTACTCAGCCATAAATAAAGAATAAAATAATGCCATTTGCAGCAACATGGATGGACCTAGAGATTGTCATTCTAAGTGA